TCTCCCTCTCACCCCATCTCCCATCTATTCACTTCCCACACCCACAGGGAAGCCTGTTCGTTTTATGTGCTTTTTCGGGGTGTTGTTGAATATATATGGAAATACAAACGAATATAAATATATTATTTTCTCCCTTTTAATGTGAGAGGCAGTCTAGTATTAAAATACACAGAGCTTTGCAGGTTGTTTGTTTATTTGTTCTAAGAGTCTATCTTGCAGATCTTTCCATACCAGTACAAAGGGAGCTAATATTTTGGGTAACTGCATTGTATTCTCTTGTATGTATGTTGCGTAATTTATCCAATCATTTTCCTATTGATGGACAATTGGGTTATTACCAATCTTTGCAATGATTTAAATTCTTTTTAACACGTTTTTTATGACACAGCTGCAGAAATTATTTGGGGAAAAAACAGAAATGATTCTAACCCGAGAAATAAATAAAATGGTTTTAAGTTCATGAACAGTTTATGTTTCAACTCAAAAATCTATAAATTCTTACATTAAAAAAATTATAACATCTGTAAAGTATTACACCCTGCAGACAGTTTATACTTAACATTTTTAGGTCAAGGACCCTTTTGAAAAAGCTAATGGGTGCTGTGAGTCTTCTCTGCAGGAAAGCGCATATATGCAAAAGCTTTTTGTAAAATGTTTTAATAGGTCATTGGCCACCAACTGTGATTGGTCCTATTCTTAAATTCATGAACCATGAACTCAGAGAAGTGGAGAGTAGAAGGGTGGTTACCAGGGGCCAAGGGGCATGGAAAGAGTGAGGCAGAGATGTTGGTCAAAGGATACAAAATTTCAGTTACACAGGAGAATTAAGTTGAAAAAATCTATCCTACAACATGGTGACTATAGTTACTAACAACGTATTATATTCTTGAAAATTGCTGAGGGTAGATTTTAAGCATTCTCACCACAAAAAAAAAAAGTACATGAAATAATATGTATGTTAATTAGCTCAATTTAGCCATTCTACAATGTATACATAATTCAAAGCAACATGTTGTACACAATAAATATATACAACTTTTATTTGTCAATTGAAAAAAAATTAATGGGGGGTGCGGGTGGACAAAAAAATTAAAATAAATAAACTAATAAATAAAAATGAAAATAAAATACAATAAAATCTATAAACCAAACTTATTTCAGTAAATTAAATGTTTCTAATTTCTAAAAAGGTAGGGGAATAAAAACACTCTAATAGCTGCCTGGATTAAAGGAAGATTGCTATATATTATTTATTTTTTTTTTTTTTTTTGAGACAGAGTCTCACTGTGTTGCCCAGGCTAGAGTGCCATGGCGTCAGCCTAGCTCACAGCAACCTCCAACTCCTGGGCTCAAGCGATCCTCCTGCCTCAGCCTCCCGAGTAGCTGGGACTACAGGCATGTACCACCATGTCCGGCTAATTTTTTCTATATATTTTTAGGTGTCCAGCTAATTTCTTTCTATTTTTAGTAGAGACGGGGGTCTCACTCTTGCTCAGGCTGGTCTTGAACTCCTGACCTTGAGCGATCCTCCCGCCTCGGCCTCCCAGAGTGCTAGGATCACAGGCGTGAGCCGCTGCGCCAGGCCCAGAAGATTGCTATATATTATTAACAGATGTTGCAAAGACTACAGATTGACTTTGTTTGACTTGTATTTTGACATTTATCCTAAAACAATCAACACTATTTGTAAACGGGGAGATTTCACACAAGGACCTGTTTTCCAAGTCTCTTCATCAGCTGAAAACCTCGCTGTGGCTGGATCGCCCTTGCTCCCTCACGCTCCACGGCGGGCGCAGCCCCCGCCGCTGGCATCGGACCCCGGCCTCGCAGGCCGGCCCTGTGGGCATCTCGGTGTAAGATTCCCAGACACGTCTTGGTTTACATTTTTTTAAACCCTAAGGTTCTGTCACTTTCTCCCTTTTGTTTTATCCTGAGGTTATTAAGAGATGAGCCAAAGAGCACAGGCGAAGGTAGCAGCTCTTTAGAGATTTTTGTCCACTCCCAAGTTCTCCTCTCCAGGAGAGAGGACGAGGATGGAAGAGAAGGAGTGGGACGGTCGTCTGTGAGGTGTGCAGAGAGCCAGGTGGGGAGAGGTATGTCGCAGAGCTGAGGGCAGCAGGGGTGCTCCTGGTGGACTGGCAGACCGGGAGGGGACACGAAGCCACTTAGTCCTGGGGCGCTGGTTTGATCTACAGTGTCACCATCTTAGCTGGGTGAGGTCGTGCTGTGGGAAGAGCACTGGTCCCAGCTGTCGGGACATCCAGGCAGGGTGGGGCTCCTCTCCTCACCATCTGCTCCAGGGGCCCCCGCCTTCGCTCTGGCGTCCTGCCTGGACAGATGGCTCTGTTCAGAATAACAGATAGTATTTCTCCAGACGTCTTCAACCCCTGACTCGTACTTAACATTTTCAGCTGACAACTCTCCCCACGATCATCTTAGGTAGTTTACACTTCTCTAGTGGGTGTACGTATCAATACGTACCGGGAGTTTACTCCATACTAGGCACCGTTCAAATGTCTTTATTAACTCATTTGATCCTCACAGACACAATATGGTGTAGGTCCTATTATTGCCACTTCACAGATGAGGAAATCAAGGCACAGAGAAGTTAATAACTTGTCCGAAGGAACCCATCCAGAGATAGATATATGCAGAGAGATATATAGATGTTTATGCACACATAGGCATAGAGCACATATAAATATGAAAACCTTTCAACCTCATAATTTTCACAATAGGTCATGCTCAAAAGCAGATATTCACTAGGCATGGTGGCTCATGCCTGTAGTCTCAGCTACATGGGAGGCTGAGGTAGGAGGATCGCTTGAGGCCAGGTGTTCAAGATCAGCCTGGGCAACATAGCAAGACCCCTGTCTCTACAAAAAATAAGAAAAATTTGCCAGGTGTGGTGGCACACACAGGTAGTCTCAGCTACTTGGGCAGCTGAGGCAGGAGGATCACTTGAGCCCAGGAGTTGGAGGCTGCAGTGAGCTATGATTGGGCCGCTGTACTCCAGCCTGGGCAACAGAGTGAGACCCTGTCTCCTAAAAAAAAAAAAAGTTAAAAAAAAAAAACAGATATTTACAGGGCTCCTGGCTGAGAGGTGCGAGATATTACAGAAATTACAGGTAGGAAAGAAAGAGAAGCTTCTGACAAGTGAGTGGTAGATACAATTCAGTTGTTCTTAAAGAATCGAAGAGTTCAAGAATTGTGCAAAGCTGCTGTTTTCTCCATGTGGTGTCCAGCGTTGTCCTCTCACTTCCAGCCAATAAAATACAAAACTGGAGCAAATATGCTTTCAAAGCCAATTAAAAAGTAAAACTTCAAAACAACCTTAAGTTCAAAAACAATAAAACTTTTCATAGCTGTTAAACTCACTCTACTCACTCTACTCCAATACCACTACTTCAAATATTTAAAATTCAAAATCCTTTTCATAACTTCATTTTTCCAGCTACAAAAGTGATTAATAATGGTGACGAGGCTCCAAATTCATATAATTGGGTGAGTTATTAGAAATGGATTGTGTGGGGGATGGGCGTGCTCGAGCTCTGACTCCGGTGGTGCAAAGGCAGTATGTGTAACCTAAATGTTCGTACCCCGTAATATTCTGAAATTAAAAAAAATTAAAAACAGAAAAAATAGAAGAAAAAAAAAAAAAGAAATGGATTAGTCTCTTGGGAATTTTTGCTTCCAAAGACTCATCACAGGGAAAAAATTGAAGGGTAATTTCCAACCACCCACCCACACACACAGCAGGCAAGCTTTTGTGTTCTAGAATTTGAGGTTTTCTCGCCCCAGAGATGCAGTTCACAGATTGTTTATTTGTTTGGTGTTGATTTGTTTATTTGAATGCAGGTTGCCAGGGAGGCTGACCCAATAGGCTGTTTTTGGAGGAAATCCCAGGCTAATTGGGATCATCTGCCCGGACTGTCTGTGAAGATGAAATGAGCAAAAAGTGTCTGGAAAGCGGGTAGACCGCCTGGGAGGGACACAGGCGGCTGTGCCAGGCCAGAGGATCAGGTGGGGCCGGTTAACGACCATCTCAGCAGTGAGCAAGACGACCCCCAGGCCCCAGGCCACCTCCCCTATTTGTCCTGGGTCCTGGGTCCTGGTGCAAGCCCAGGGCACCGAAGAGAACCATTTGCCACAGCAGGAGGTGGAGGGAAGAACAGTGTCAGGTTTTTGTTGATTTTGACAAGTGGAAGCTCAGATCTATATATGATATGATTTGTAAAAATGAGGAAATGTGATTTTTTATACTGGCGTCTTAAAAAGCAGTTCCTTCCTCCACAGCCAACATTTTCTTACGCTCTTAAGCAAAACCCCTTGTGCGAGCGGACTCCTTTTCTCTCGCCTTCTCCCCCTTATTTTAGGTGAGGCGCAGCAGCCAGATCCCCTTATGCGGACGGCCGCAGATCCTATCTCGCCTTAGTTCCTGAACCAATGTCCCCCACGGCCAAGCGTGCTACCTACCGTGGGTGCGCACCAGCATCGGCAGCCCTGGCCCCAGGGCACCGCGCAGGGGACCAGGCGCGCGGTCCGCCAGTCGCACCGCGGCGACACCTCCGTGGTCACCCGCGCACTCTGGCCGCGGACGGCCGAGCCAGGGCCACGGGAGGCTGAAGTCGGAGTCACCGGAGGACACCAGCAGGGGAGGTGACAAGCGAGCGGGGCGAATCCCGCAGGAACGCTGAGCGGCGGGGCGTCCCGGACAGACTGCGCCCCGACGGCTCTGCTCACTCCCTCTGCAGTGGGGACACCTGACCGAACGGACGCCCGGGTCCCGGGTCCCGGGTCCCGGGGAGCGAGGAGCCGGGAGGAGGATGAGGAGGAGGCGGCGGAGGGCGAGGACCCGGGCTCGCGCCGCTGAGGTCCCGGGGTCCCCGCTGAGCGCGGCCGGCCCTTCCCCGGCAGGGGTGCGGATGCTGAGTCACGGATCCGTCCCGGCTCCGCACCTCTCCGCAGCCCTCCGCGGACTAAAGCAAAAGCGAAAGCGGATGCGCCTGGCGGGCGGCCGGCCCGGGAGCCGCGCTCGCCACCTCTCCCGGGCCTCGGTGTCGCACGCGCGGCGGCCCGGGGCGTGCGGCGGGCACTGCGGGGCGTGCGGCCATGACCCGGCTGCGGCCCCGCGGCGGCCCGGCGCGGGCGCTCCCCGCGCTGCTGCTGCTGCTGCTGCTCCGGACGCCGGCGACGCGGGGTAGGCAGCGGCGCGCGCCCGGGCGGGGCGGCGGGAGGGGGCCCGGGCGTCGCGCATGACCGCCCCGAGCGCCGCACCTCCGCGCCGGGCTGGGAGTCCGTCCCCGCGGGGCCGCGGTGCGCGCCCGCTCGGGGCGGGAGGGGGCGGGGGACACGCGCCTGGGGACACACGCGCGGAGCCGCGGCCGGGGCGGGAGAGCGCCGCAGCCTGCGCCCGGCTCAGCCACCGGAGGGAGCGGGCGGCAGCGCGGGCTTCCCGGCCGCGGGAGGACAGCAGCTCCGACGAGCCCGGCTCGGCCGGGGCGCGCCGACGGAGGTGCGAGCGCAGGTGCGAGCGCGCACGTCTCCGAGCCCGCGCGGACGCCTGTGCGCGTGTCGCGCGGCGCGCGGACTAGGCGCGGTCCCGGGAAGACGACCCCTCTCGACCCTCAGGCAAAAGTGAATTATGTAAGTGGGTCGCTGGAAGGAAGGGGTAGGGACTGCGTCCCTGGGGAGGAAAAAGCGCGTAGGGCAAGTTGCACACCTGGGACGTGGAAACTCCCAGTCCTCAAGCGAGCGGGAGGCTGGCAGAGGGCGCGGGAAGGTGGGGCAGCCTGGAGTCTACACTCCCAGGAAAAGGGGAAGGAAATCTGGTGACCGCTTGGTGCATTCCAAAAGGACGCGGGTCATGCGGATCTAAGCTCAACAGGGAGACTCCTAGGGCTTTGTCCCGGGAGCCAGAGGAAGGGCGAGAAAAGGGAGATGGGTCTGGCTGTATCCTTGTTGGTGCTTCTTAATCTTTTTACAGTCAAGGAGCTCTTTGAGGGTCTGATGAAAGCCATGAACCCTCTCCCCAGAAAAACTCATGAATTCACATACTCGCAAAATGCGCACACGATTTTGGGCTCTCCATGAGAGAATTGGCATGATCTCTGTGCGTTTTTAGGCAAGAAGACCCCCAGTAATTTACATCCAGTTGGGCCAGTCTGCCCAGGACGTGGCCAGAGCCAGATCCATCCACAGTTGCCGCTGCCTGGCTTGGTCTGAACTTTCTAGATCTGCAGGATTTCATGAAGTTTCGTTTTCATGAGACTGTGATGCTTGGATTTTCCCCACATCTGAGAAGCTGGGTTATGCGGGTGACCTGGTCATTTCCTCCCATCTGACTAGCCAGTGACATGCATGACCCCGGAGGAGGTGCCAGCTCCATTGCACAACGTGAAAGTGAAATGCATTTGTAGTCAGAGCCCAGCAAAGATGAGGTGTCTGCCTCACAGTGAGGGGGAGTCAGAGGGGGGATCTCTGAAGTTCATCAGCTACACCCAGTCTTGCTCTTCCACCTTACAGAGGTGCCATTGGGCAGCTCCCGATGTTCGTTTTCGGTTTTGTTTTTCTAACAGCCTCATTGAAGTATGATTGACACACAGTAAGCTGCATGTATTTGAATTGTACAATGTGCTAAGTTTAGAGGTAAATGCCTGCACCCGTGAAACCAACGCTGCACTCCAGAGAGTAAACATACCTATCCCGACCGGAAGCTTCCTGCATAATCCCTGCCTCCCACCCCACCCATCTCCAGGCAACCCATGTATCTGTTTTCTGTCACTGTTGATTTATGGCACTTTCTAGAATTTTATATAAATGGAATCATACAGTATATTCTCTTTCTTGTGTGGCTTCTTTCACTCATAGTGGTTATTCTGAGAATTTATCCAGCTTGTAACTTGTATCAAGTATTCATTTCCATCCCTTCGTAGTATTGCAGCCCATGGCAAGCCCACCGTGCGTTTATCCATTCACTGGTTCACGGACATTTGGGTTGGGCTAGGACGTAGAAAGCTGCTATGAGCATTTGCATGCAGGTTTTGGTGTGGACACATGCTGTCACTTCTCTTGGATAGCAGATGATTAGGCGTGGAGTGGCTGGGTCACGTGGCAAGTGTATGTTCAACTTTCTAGGAAACGGCAAACCACGTTCCAAAGTGGTTGTACTGTTTGACATTCCCACCAGCAGCACAGGAAAGTTCCAGCTCCTCCACGCCCTTGTCAGCACTGGCTGCGATGAGTCTTTTTACATTTTACCCATTCTGTTAGGTACGTAGTGGTCTCTCATTGTTTTAATTTGTGTCTTCCTAATAACTACTGATGTTGAACATCCTTTCCCGTGCTTATTTGCCATGTAGGTATCTTCTCCGGAGAACTCTCTGTCCAAATATTTTGCCCCTTTGAAAATCGAGTTGTGTCATTACTGAGTTTTGAGAGTTCTTTATCTCTTCTGGATACAATGCCTTTATCAGATGTATGATTTGTAAGTTTTTCCTCAGAGTCTGTGGCTTGTCTTTTTATTCTCTTAACAGAGTCTTATAAAGAACAGAAGTTTTAAATTTTGATGAAGTCCAAATTATTTATTTGTTTTTCCATATATTATGCTTTTGATGTTGTATCTGAGAAATCTCTGCCTAGCCTAAAGTTACAGCAGTTTTCTGCTATGTGTTCCTCTATAAGTTTTAAAGCTTTAGGGTTTACATTTATGGCTGTAATCCATTTTGAGTTCATTTGTGTGTAATGTGAAGTACGGATTGAAGATTGTTTCGGTTAGTTTTTTGCATATGGATATCCAATTATTCCAGCACCATTTATCGAGAAGATTATCTTCACTGATTTGCTCTTACACCTTTTGAACATCAGCTGTCCATGATGTGTGGGCTTGTTGGAGTATACAACAGGCTTTCTTGTAGAAATTGGCAAACCGATTCCAAAATTCACATGTAAATGCAAAAGATCTATAGGCAAAACAACTTTTAAAAAGAACGGAGTTGGAGGAACAAGACTCCCCGATTGTGAGACTTACTATAAAGTTACAGTAGTCAAGCCCGTACGGTGTTGGTGTAAAAATGGGAAGAGAGATCACAGAACAGAGGACGCCTGGTGTTTTTAAGTGAGCTTGGAAGGGAAGTGGCCCCAAATCATTAAATTTGCCACTTGGTAGAATGACTCTGGTAGGAAATGACAGAGAACACCTCATTTCTCATCAGTAATCGAGTAAATAATATCGTCTCCAGTTTGTTCATGCTAGTTCAGCAGGTGTGCAGTGCTAATAGGCACAGGAAGTTGTTGTGAGTCTCTTCTTATTTAAAAGGCCTGAATTGGAGGGAAATTCACATTTTCAGCACTGTGGAGGCTTTGCCCAAACCTTTTGTTTTTTATTTCAAATCAATTTTATCTAGTTATTACTGCTTTTGTGCTGCTACTGACAGCAAAAAAAAAAAAAAACAGTGATAAAAACTTAAATATGCAAAATATGGGATTTATTGAAATCAACCTAAATGTTCAACACTCGAGGATTGCATAAATAAAGCGGAATTGCTTTCAAATAGTATGCATCCTTTTTTACTCGAAGATCCAGAATTGAATAGGGAGATATTATGTGTCAGGCAGATGTGCGCATGTATGCAGTTATCTGCCTTTTCTTATTTTTCTGCCATAATTTGAATTATTTTTGGATAAGAAAAATAAATAAAATAAAGCTACAAAAGAGATATCACAATAGTGATCTAGAATTTTGGAAAAATAAATAAATAAAGCTACAAAAGAGATATCACAATAGTGATCTAGAATTTTGGAAAAATAAATAAATAAAGCTACAAAAGAGATATCACAATAGTGATCTAGAATTTTGGAGCTTTTTCTAATTTATTTTTATTAATTATAAGTGATCTCCTTGTTCAGCAGTGTTTTGATGATGTTATAAATTTTGCAAATTGCTGAAAATAAAGTTTTATAAAGTCACTACGTATAACATTTGTGCGTACTTTGCCAACACTTTATAATCCTTTACAACTTTTTTTTAAATAATTCGTTATTGTTGGAGCTGTGGTGAGGCTTTACTTTCCTCCTGATTGTTGGATATTTAGTTTGTTTTAAAATGTTCGATGTTCTGAACAACACAAGGTAGGAATAACTGGAAGAAACTGAGCCTTATAGAGAAAAAGAAAAAAGCAAGGAGGAACCCCTCAACATCCAAAAAAATGGCTGAAATGTTTCTGGGGAATATTCTCTTTTTCAGTCAAATCATCATTTCAAAACTAACTCATTTCGGGCTAAATCAGTTTAGCCAAGTTGATCTTATCAAACAGTACATAGCTCAATGAATAAATATACAAAATCCCTCAGTATATGTTCTAGGAGCCATGTCAGCGTGGCTCTCTGCACACGGTTGATGGGATGTGAAGGCTTCTCCTTGGAAAAGCTGATTCCCTTCCGTGCAGTGGTTTCTGTGCCGGGATGGAGCTGCGTGGTGGGAAGGTCGTTCTTGCACAGAGTGTGGAGAAGGGATCGTCTTGCAGTGGTTCCAGTGAGTGGTGTGAAACCCTGTGCCCAGGCAGTGTTAACGCAGGAGACAGGAGGGGCCAGGTATCCTCTTCAGCCCGGAAAGTATAGAATGTAGTTCATTCTTTTCCTTTCGTTTGCTCTTCAACCTACAGCCCCTCAACTCTTGCAAGCCTCCAAAACTCATCATTCACGGGTTTGAACTGTGATGGAATTCACGCAGCACACAAGAGGTGGGTTGGGAGGCTCAGTTGAGCCTGAGAGACAAAGAAAGGAATTGGTGAGTTTTGGATAATGATCTGGGTACAGTCTGTACTCACAGTGAGCTGCAAAAGGAAGTGTGTTGTCGGCTTGGCTGGCATTTCGGCTAGGAAAATAAGGAAGGAGAATGGATCGCTGTGAGTGCAGAGGCCTTTGTTCTTTTGGGGCATCCACTTCACAATGTGCTTCTTGGGGGCGGGAACCACGTGTTCCACGTGCGGGAACCACACCAACCACTTGTTGGTGTCCCACCGCCCCTGGCAGGTGGCAGGCATTGGAATGGTAGAAGAGGTGAAAGGAATGTTGGAATGAATCTCACTCTGCGTAAAGGACAGGAGGCGCACGCTAACCTGAGGGCTTCTGAACTCCGGATGTGAGACCAGGCCAAGGCTCCTGACTCACAGTAGACTCTGCACATCACCCTGGTAGGTA